ACTATCTTCTTCTCTCAACTACTCTCTCTACTCTACTCTCTCTCTCTCTCTCTCTCTCTCTCTCTCTCTCTCTGCATAAATCCATATCTCCATCTCTATGTGTAGAAATCTCATGTGTTCATCCACCTTGATTTTCTAGAGAGCTTATGTCCCCCACCATCTCTTTGTTGGCTGCCATTGATTCGTAATTGCAGCCTCCTCTAACGGTGACATCAGCAAGGTTACCAATGCCACCAGCGATTCTGTAGATGACCTCAGGTTTCAAATTGCCACTGTTAAGGAAAGCAGGATAATTCCTCTCCATAAATAACAATAGAGATTGCTGGGATAAGTGTGATTTTCGCAAATGCATTAGGTTACAATTGTTATGAACCATAATGATTTGGAATTTCCACACAATAGGACAATTTTGAATTACATATTGGAACTATTATGGAATCTGAACAAGATCTAGAAAAATCGTGATACCTTCATTCATGTGCCAAAATTCAGAGTTTCAAATTTATTTTACATTTACATGGCCTTGTTATCTTCTTTATTCCATGGAATAGCCATTGGAGAAGATGAACCCAGCTCTATATAAAAGCCTATGGAGAAGATGAACGTAGTTGGGCGTATGGCAAAGGGAATAGGAGAGATGGAGAGAGGGTGGGAGAGTGGCAGCACGAGAGAGAGACCTAACAAAGATAGACAGATGTATCTGTAAATGGTGAAGGTGGTAGCTTTGATGTGGCTCAGGTGGTGGCCTTGCTCGAGTAGAGTTGGGGCAGAAAGAGGGAGAGGCAGAGTGAGGAAAGAACGAGAGTGGTTTACTGAGGTGGGGAAAGGGAGAGAGTAGGTGATGGGGGGAGAGAAAACGAGAGTGGATGGGCGGTGGCCTTGCTCGAGGGAGAGTGAGCACGAGGGTTTCTCCCTGGTTCAGCTATGAGAGAGAGAGAGGAGGTGAATGGTGAGAGAGAGAAACAGGGAGAGGACCCTAATGTAGAGAGAGAGGGTATGCGTTGTCAGGCAGCATACAGGTGTCAGTCATTAAATGTGTTTTTTAATTAAAAACGAGGAGTTCTGTGAAATTGATATGGACCGTCCAATTTTCCCCAACCCCCAACAAACCACCACTGCTGTTGGCGCACCGACCAGCTCTAAGCGAGTGTGCGTATCGACGTGTTTCCCTATATATATATATATATATATAGAGTCACTGCTGTACACCCATACACGAATGGACTAGATTGAATCTGACCATTTTGTGGCCGATCTGACGCTCACAGATGTCTGATAGTGTTTGAATTTTAATATTTTTTTCTACAAGTCCAAATCACTTGAAATTTTAGGCGTGTGTTCTTCAAAAATAGGCGAATATACAAAAAATATCAAAAAAACATTTACACGAAATAAATTCACCAAATAGCCCCAAAATGTTTCGAGGGCTATTTT